GGGGGGGCTAAGGGCAGAATTTAAAAGAGCCCTTTCTAAAAACATCTTTTCTTATTTCATAAGTAATGCTGTATGAACAGCAATCGATTAATAGCAGACACTCGTAAAATCCAATTCCGCGAAAATATTACTAACTGAAAAAAAAAAGATTTTACGATTGAAAAAAAAAAAGATTTTGCAGGGGTTATTTACATTTTTGTCTATACGACTGCATTAGTGTTTTCTTCAGACTTAACCTGTTTTCACCCATCATGTCCTTCAGTGACAATTTCAGTTTTTCAACAACTATCTCAGCTTTACTTTCTTTTTGCAAATATACCACAGGCGACAAATGTAGCAAAGTAAAGCGCTTTTCTTGCAAAACTTTGCATTTTTTGCAGAATCTGTTTCAGAACAAAATAATGATTTGCAAGTACAGGTACCGCTACATTAAAAATCAGGAAGATGCTAACATCAGCGAATTCTGGATGATCTTTGGTTATGCAGCTGTTAATAAACATACGTAAAATGTTTTAAATGGAGCTTAGAGTTAGGTGTCCAAAAATTTACGGAAAAAAAATTTTCGAACATCTATTTTAGACTCTGAATCGTCTAGCCGTATTGGTGAAACGTGATTCGCAGTGGTTCACGAAATTTGTCAAAAAAGGAGATTTATTTAAGCAGTTCGAGCGATTGCTCATGGACGAGCGTTGGGAGGTGCAGCACCAGTGCATTAAACTCTTGCATGATGCCCTACCAACTTTTGGCAATGTAGGTTATATCAAATTAAATAAGGAACTATTTATTTTTGAAACACTCATCAGTGATATTCGTTATTAGATTATGACAGCTTTGTAATGGGTTCGCATTCCAATTAGCGGTTCATTTTATTAAACTGCAGTTTAGCGCATTTCGGCTAGTTTGGCATTTTGGCTGAATTTTTGCTTTCTTCGCTTTATTCCCATACCAAAATCTGTCGTGCACTTTGACACAGGGAAGATGAAAAGGCGGGGTGCGAGGTACCTACACAAGAAATACGTCTTCTCCACAGTGCTCCGTGAATTCCAATAACGACAATCGATCGCTTATTCTGCTGGAAAATTTGTGTTAACTTATTTTTTAGTACATCGAGTGGTGTGTGTCATATCTGTTGCCATGTATTGTCACTAAGCTTGGCAGCCCAAAGATAACGATACGTCGGATAACGAATCAAATGCTGACCGCCTATTTGAAACTTCAGCCAGGAGCTTTGAATACTGTTCAGGTAGGAACACCTAGGAAATTTAGTTGTTTTCTTGATCCACGACACCAGATTTTCTTTATCTGTGCTACTAAATCCTAGCTGAAATTATGCCCCAGAACTGAGCAAGCTACGGCTTCGAAGTTCCACGGTTTTTCACACTCTGAAATACAAGACCACCGCGACGAACTTCTGTATGCACTGACGCATTCGTTTATGATGCGCTCTCAAATAGGCAGTGCAAAAATAAATAGTTACGCCGTCAGTATGCGCCAGTAATTGTTCCAAAAGCAGCAGTTAAAAAAGGCGAATCTGAATTCGTCTTTTTTAACTGAAATTTCTTCCAGAAAGTACTCTCAACTTTTCTGTTAAACAACGAATGTGATACGCGCACGAAAGACGAAGCTCTTGCGGAGATACCGAATTTAATGATTGCGGAATGTGCGGAGCAGAGCTGGAGGATACTGATCGATGGACTTGTAAAAATGATGCTCATGGTTACACCAGAGAGGCGTGAAAAGATCGCCGGTTTGCTTGCCGGCTTTAGTGGTACTGTTTCTGCTTTACTTTTTGAAAAAAAGCTGCGTTTGGCGAAACGCGTAGTTTTCCACTAGGGCTGGATGCGGCTACAGGCGAAAGCCAGTGACTTGCTTACAACGATCAACCCAGGCTGCAACGCTCCAGTCTTGTCGGTGCGATTATGCGTTCTTGCACTAAACTTGCGGCAGTCAGATCGTTAACAACATAAATGTTTCCTGCGTCACGAGTTAACACCTGGATGTGTGTTGGCTATGTTTTGTCTGTTCTTGCATACAGAGGGAAGAAGGCGTCGTTTAGGATGGCAGCGTTGCATAACGGAACCGCATGAACGTCCAGCGTGCACGATTATCAATTTTGCGTGAAGAAAGGTTATTTTTCCCGTGAGTGTCCCCCATCACCTCCTTCTCCTCCTCGCCCTCCTCATCCTTCCGCATCAGCCGGCAGCTCATTTACATGCAGTCTCCTCGTGAGGATTGTGGTTTATGTTTTGATTCCTGCTCAAAATAATGCTCACATGCAAGATTTTAAAAGGCTTAAATTTCAGCTTATATGGGATCAGAGAAGCTAAAAAATGTTATATCTGAACTGTCAAATGAGCAGCAAGAAATGTGCCGGAAAAATGAACATATAATTTTCGAGAAAGATGAAATTTCCACTAATTCCATAGGTGCACTGCAGTTAAATTTCTTTTTTTTTT